TATTAAAACAAAAATATTGGTTGTAATTTTTGACAATGGCACCCCACAGCCGAGCCACATTTTCACTCAGAACTTAATTAGTTTAGAAATAATTTCCAGTCCAAACAAATGTCTATGTTGAAATATCTTCTTAGCCTTAGGAACAAAACAGCTACTAATTTTAATCTAATTATTGTTTCAGAAGAAAACCACACAAACATATCTTTGTGCAACAAAATACTTTGCGTGTTGTGTATTTTGCTGGCAGCCTTATTAAATGGCAACATGTGTACAATTAAAAATAAAGAAATACTTACTTTTACTCTGAGCAACAACTACAAACGAGAACGGAACCCGTTAACTGAGCATTAAATTTTCTTGAAGTTGTCCCTCTGAGTAGTATTTCCGTATACCGACAGGGTTTCCATAGCGACGCAAACATTTGCAGCACTTCCTTTTTTTCTGATGCTGCGCACGAGCTCTGGTCCCTTTACCCAAAAAATAAAACTTATTGAAAAACAAAGGCTGAATTTCTGTGGGACAGCCGGTCAGTATAAAACCCACTTGGCTTACTGTGAGAGATAATCTGTCTGGATTAATGCCCACCAGTAAGAAGCTTCTTTAGACTGAACCATTCTACTGGTTTATTATCAAACAGAACAGAGAGAAAAGAAGACGACTATTAAAATGTGTTTAGTGGGTCATTTTACACAAAAAACAAACTTCTGTAATGAGTTGTGTAAAACCAGCTACAATTGTAAATGTTTTTTTTTTCCTTATTTCAAGGCACCATCATCATCATAATTTTATTTATCATATCACTGCATACAGTATACATTAATATAAATGGATAACACAATAAAGCATAAAGCTTATTTCCATTGCGGTCCAGTGCAATCGAGTTGTTGACCAAAGAGATAATTCAGGCAAACTAAACGCTAAAATGCAACATTAAAAGGCAATAAGATATGTGACATTGCAATGAATAAAAGCTCAACTGAAATACAGAAAAAATAACACTTTAAAAAAACATCAGACTTAATCACTCTGTAATATTCTTGGCTTGCCTCTTTGTTTTAGGCAAGAGAACCATTGTAATAACTGTAATACATAATTACGATGTATTATAGCAATGTCACAATTAAACAAGAATATGTAAATGAGCATTTTAGTAATAACTTGTTTATAATTCATATAAAGCGTGTTAGCAGTCTGTCTAAGTCTGTCTTTCCCCATATAACTTTTTTATTATCTTAAAATCTTCCATCATTTCAAAATCTCAATAGTTAATAGTTCATTTTTCGATAATATATTTTAAGCTCTTAACAATCTTACAACAAATTATATGAATTGCGTTGTAGTCATGCATAAAAAAAACATGACCGGGTTCATCGTTCTGCTCCTTGTTTCACTGGGGACTAATTTGAATGTAACACACAACACAAACTCTCTCCCGGAAGTCCTGTATTTGACGGTTTTCTCTCAACTTCGAGGTGTAGTTTACATTTGATGAATGACAACATTGTTTGAAGAGTGTTATATTTGTGCGTGTGTTCGTATGTATTATAAGTTGTACGTTTTTTTTTTTAGCTTTGCTGCCACTAGCTAGTAGCTAACACAGGTCGATTAAAATTGTAGATTTATTGAATGAATTTCTGAATTCAGGAAGTAAACTTTTCTAATATAAACTCAAATAACAGGAGGTCACCTCTGAGAAATGGTCCACATGTCCTCTGAAGAGGAGACATCGCGGACGTCATCTTCTCCATCCTCTCCCTCCTCATCCTCATCTCTTCCTACCTTGCACTTCATTGGGAAGAAGGAGGACATTGTCAGAGCCCGGCGGGTGACCAAGCTTGTGAACGGCTGCAGAGAAGTGCTGGTCTTGTACCACCAAGGGCAGCTTTATGCAATGGACACGCGTTGTTACCGTAAGCTCTGAGCTCTCGCTGTGTGGCATGCTCTCTGCAATATATATGGTTAAATATTTTAAATACTTTTGTATAAAAAAACTATTTTTTCTATTGTTTTTTCTGCTGACAGATTCTGGTGGTGACCTACAGGATGGAGATATTGAGGTGAGTTTTCTGAAGCCAAATAGGTGCTTTTTTCCCACAACTGGAGTAGCTGTTCTCAAATTTACAATAAATTAGCAGTCTATTTATTCATCAATATATTTTATTCCAGCATTGCCATTATAGCTGTTTCTCACCGTTTCTGTCAGGAGTTTAATGGACGCCTGTGTATTGTGTGTCCGTGGCACAAATACAAGATCACACTAGCTGAAGGAGAAGGACTTTACCAAGCCGTGGAGAACCCTACAGTCAAACCTCTGAGGACTCATTGGTGCTCCAAAGGTGTCAAACAAAGGATTCATAAAGTGACTGAAAACAACGGGGAYGTGTACGTAATGCTGAATGACTCCATCGATCCCATTGAATCAGACATCTACCAGACTGAGAAATACAGGACTGCTTGCTTTAAAGTCCAGCCAAAAGTCAAATCCAAGAAATTATAAGATCATAAAGGAGTTTTTCATTGAACAAACAAAAGTTACTTCTGGGAAACCTTTGTCTGTCTTTTAAAAAGAAAATTTCCCCTCATGTCATGAGGTGTAGACATGAAGAACATGAGTTATCTCATGAGGTAGGACAGAAAGAAATAAAAGAGAATTTATACAAATGTGGTTGATTTTAATTTATTTTTTTATTTTATTCTTTATTTATTTAAAATCCTTATACAGTATACAATTACAAATAGAATAAACTGTATGTATCAGAATTTTAAATGGATTTGTTTGGTTAAAAATAAATGTGTGTCTTTTCCCACAGAGGAGAATTTATATTTTGTTTCCTTTCTGTTGTTGTTGTTGTTGTTGTTGTTGTTGTTGTTGTTGTTGTTGTTGGTAGTAGTAGTAGTAGTAGTAGTAGTAGTCGTAGTAGTGGGTACCTAGTAGTTTGAGGTCCCTGCTGTGTCGCTGCGTTGTTACAGTCCAGACGCTAGGTGGCAGCAGTACGCCGTGTGTTTTCTGACAACGCGCATTTGTGACGTCATAAATAAGCGACGTTCAAACGGTTCAGTACCACAAATTTGAAGTAGTGTATTTCTTTCTTCAAATGTAGTGATTTTTATTGGATTAAATATTCTCAGCGTGATCTAACTGTAAACACCGTCGGGCGCCGTGAACACACTGTGCTGTTGGGGATCAGAAATGTGTTTTATAATCAGTTAAAACCGGAAARACAACATTACTTTTTATGTTTCGATAAAATAGACWGCTGTAATGGCATCAGGTAAAGTTATGTGTTTAGTTTGGTTCTCATTATGTTACTTATTTTGCATGCGTTACATCTTAAACTGTTTTGGACTTTCGTACTGCAACTTCAACATTAATATTCTGTGTAGAAGAAGAAATTAATCTGCTGGTCATCGTCGTGGATGTAAATCCTATATGGTGGGGTCAGCAAGCTCAGCGTGAACCAGAGGTATTACTTTTATTATTCAATTAGTTATTGTTATTGACTGTAGTTTTTAAAGTAAAATAAAAAAAATCGAAATAGAAGAAGCATTAGGGTTTCTAAATAGTTATTTGATTATGTATAACAAGATACCTTGAACACAGTATAAATGTGATCTATGTTTCTAGATGTAACCTTACAAATGTTACAGTAACTGAGTTTTTTGTAAAAAGCCCAAATCAAAATGGACTTTACTCTGAAAATAAWAAAGACTACGTGTATGGTTAACGATAATTAAGTACAACCCTGTATTATAAACATCCATCCATTATCTATAACCGCTTATTCCTTCAGGGTCACGGGGGTCACTGGTGCTCATGTATTCAGCATAACATCTTTAAATTACAACAACACCATAAGTATTGTGAGTAATTATAAACATACTTTTACAAAAAGTGTCAAAACGTATTTGACAATATAATGGGGAAAAAATGGTTGAATAAAACAACTAATATAGAAGTACCTTAAAAGATTTACCTTATGGATTACATGTAAGTTAAACTGAGCTTTTTATTTGTATCCTAACACTATTTTCTGTCTTTTCTTTGTCAAGTTTACTTTGTCCAAGTGTATGGATGCAGTCATGGTGATGGGAAACGCTCATACAGCTATGAACAGGACAAACAAGCTGGCCGTCATTGCTAGTCACTGTCAAGACAGGTAACTTTACACAGAAGAAAACTTCTGTCACTATAAGTTCCACTCAGTCTTGCAGAATTAATGTGTTATTACGTTTTAGAGACACAAATTACTAGTTATTCTAGAGGGTTTTTGTCAAAGTCTTTGTGTAAATGTGTKTTTTTTCCTGTTATATGGACTAGTTTCTTTAAAACAATTGTTTGTTGCATTGTTTTACAACCAGCCATCCATCAAACCCTAAAAATGCTTGTTCAAGACGTAAATGTCATAACTAAAATCTAATATTACTCAAGTAAAGTATTCTGCAGAAGCGGTTTGTGTACTCTTAAGAGAAATATAGCTTCAGAAATTARTAATACTTTTAATGCTTTTGCTTTRATGTGTATGYARGTTTTTCTTTGTCCAGTTTTAGCTCCCTGTGGTCATTTTGCTCTCATCTCTTCTGCTCAGTCACTTCCTGTATCCCACTACGAGTATGAAAGCTGGGGACGGTGGTGGTGACGAAGCATCCTCCAGCAAGGATGGAAAATATGAACTCCTGTCTGTCGCTAACAGTATTATTGCTGAAGAGATCAAGAATCTTATGTCAAAAAGTAGGTCAAATATACAGTAAATGTCTGAGGATATTGATAGAAGAAGTGCCTTTAAGGCTGTCAGAAAGGAAGTAGTTGTTAATGTTGTTTAATTGATCATGTTTTATTTCAGGTATTTTTAGAGTCATAACACTTTTGTTGTCTCCTGCTCTTACAGCTCAAGTGACGGGAAACTCAACAGATACTTTGCTGGCGGGATCCCTTGCTAAAGCTCTCTGCTGTATCCTTTTAATGAGAAACTTTAACACTTTTATCAGTGATAATTCAGCATGCTTTCTTTTCAGATTAAACAGGATTTTTTTATGTAAGAAAGCTTATTATTTTTTCCTGTAGTTATATCAGAATTTGAATACTTGATTTTTCTCCCAGGGAAAATATATTATGTTATGTTATGTTATGTTATGTTATGTTATGTTATGTTATGTTATGTTATGTTAAATTATGTTATATTATATTATATTATATTATATTATATTATATCACATGACATTACATTATAAAGGACTCGAGCTAGACTTTTCCTAAAAGCTGTGATAACCAGATATCAACAGAGTCTTAAAAGAGCTGGAAGGTAAWATAACTTATTTGTACTAAATATCAGAATAAAGAGAACCAGTTTATTTTTTCCCCACTACATTGTGATTTATTTATTTATTTATTTTGCTTCAGTTGGACAGGACATTAAATCAAGAATATTGGTAAGCCTTTAACTTCATTCGTGACCTTTTTTATTCTTATTTCTCTGTGTTTTGAGCTCATGTTCTCATTGTTACCTGACAGGTGATAAAAGCGGCCGAGGACTGCGCCCGGCAGTACATGAACTTCATGAATGTGATTTTTGCTGCACAAAAACAGGTGAGTAAGAATCTCCTGCTTTTGTTCTGACAATATATATTTTAACATATTTCATTCATCATTTCACGTTAATATTTTTAAACAGAGCATCCTAATAGATGCCTGTGTGTTGGACTCTGACTCAGGCCTCCTTCAACAGGTACTTCTTAGTTTCGGTGAGTTTCTAGTTTTCAGCATCGTATATTACTAACGTGTGCCCGTGTGTTTGTTTTTAAGGCTTGTGATATAACTGGAGGCTTATATCTGAAAATACCGCAGAAAGTAGCCCTGGCACAATATCTTCTGGTGAGAGTTGCTCGTTGTTGAGCACATTTCAAAGGAAGTGGTTGATGTTTCCATGTGTAGAAAGTAAGTTTTGTGTTTGAGCAGTGGGTGTTCCTGCCTGACTCGGAGCAGCGCTCTCAGCTGGTGCTGCCGCCGCCCGCACACGTGGACTACAGGGCCGCCTGTTTCTGCCACCGGAACCTCATCGAAATCGGTTACGTGTGCTCCGTTTGTTTGTCAAGTAAGTCGCTGAGAAAAACTATTTAAAAAAACATGTTTTTATTTATTAAGATGTATTGCTTTCATTGTGATGTTTTTGTTTTTTGTTTCAAGTTTTCTGCAACTTCAGTCCCATTTGCACAACATGCGAGTAAGTCTGCTTTATTATAGTCAACTAATTTAAAAAAATGTTTCAGAAGAATGCAACATTAAGTTTGGCATCTTCACTGTGTTTTGTTATTAACTTGATTTATTTATWTTTTTAGGACTGCCTTTAAAATCCAACTACCACAGATGGTCAARCCCAAAAAGAAGAAACTGAAGCTGCCAGCATGAGATGTTTCCATCGTACCAAACATGACTGATGTTACATTAACACCCAGATCAGTATTTCTTCTCTGAAGGAGTAATAATTTTTCAGACAGATTTTGTTAAAACGACTATGTGAACTATATTAAACACATATTATACAATTTGACACATCACCTCGGTATTTGTTGACAAGTCTCAATTATTTTATGTTGATAAAAGATGTGCATTGAAATCTTTGTAATGGCTTAAAAAATGTAATGATGTTTTTATTAAATCATTAAATTTTCTAAAATATTGTCAATTCATTGTCCTTAATCATCATTATGAATGTTAGAACACATTAAGCGTCTTCCTCCCTCTGTCAGTGAAGCAATCGTTGCTAAAATGACAACATTTTACAGATTTGGCAGTGTAAAGATGTGACACGTGTCCCGTCAAGTTAACAAAATCTAACTGAATGTGGACATGAAYGTTTGTTTATAATCCTGGAAAAGAGGAGGTAGTTATACACACACATCTAAACAAGACCAGAAAGGGCAACAGAGGATTCCATCAAGATGAACAAACATTTACACACATTTCTGTTGCTCCTAAAAAGCTGTTTTAATGAGAAAGTATCAGTGGTAGCTCATCATCTTATGTTTCCCTGAGTTACTTAGATAATACACAACTACTGCTACTTTCCCAAGACTTGAAAACAAGCTTTTATTTATTAATTAGAATACCAAATATTCTCAAAGGTGTTGCTTTTCAGTGTTTTATCGTCACCTAATCACTGCAACAGCCTACGTTTTAGGCATGAATATCCTTTATTCAACCAAAGAAAATAACTGCAAACACAAGAAGAAACATTTTCAAACAAACTGYAGTGACTCTGGTGGAGTTCCTCCACGTTGCTTCTCAGAGAAATTTAACTTGGACTCAGCATCCCACTTCTCTCGTTCAGTGGAGTCAGCCGGACTAAAACACTTTACTTTTCTATAGTCGATCCTTAGGGCAGTTTTCAAATGGAGGAAAAGTTTAAAGTTTAATGAAAAAAGTATCAATATTTCTGCAGTWAATATAAAGTCAGTGTAAAACCACTCAGGAAAGATAAGTCAAAGATGAGATTCTTAAACTTAAATATGACAGGGTTCTGTGGGTTATCGCTGAACTGGAACAATGTTGCATCTGGAGGAGAAACAAAAAGATTGTGGTAATATTATCAATGAGCTCTAAACAGACGTTTTATCAGTAAATTTGATTTTGTTTTTTGCTCTGTGTGTGTGTGTGTGTGTGTGTGTGTGTGTGTGTGTGTCTCACCCCAGCAGACCTCTGCCTGACCACCTCTGTGGCGTCAGATTCATCTGAACTTTTTGACCAGCCCTGATCACTCCCACACGTAAAGGTTTCTRAAAAACAAACATGGTGCTGCATGTTACACCAAGTAATCCCACTCAAATGTGATAAAAACTATAAACTTAAAATAAAGAACGTACCCCTTCACTGTGCTGCACCACAGATGCAATGTTCTGGAGGTTCTGAAAGTTTCCTGTGTTTACAGAACCAAATTCGATGATTTCATCTCCTACTCTTAGACCCTTTGAAAAAAATAAACCAAATATTAAAATTAATAGAAATGCATTTTTTTGCTAAATTTAAAGAGTTGCGATTATTTATCTGAAAAGATACGTAATACAAAAGCCCTGTTGTTGTGACTCACAGCTCCAGAGGCAGGCGAGCCTTCGGTCACGGCGTCCACTCGTGCGAAGGGAGGAGGTAGGGTGATCTGCTGCTCCATGGCCTCCTGGGCTTCAGTCGCATCCTGCTCCCGCTTGGCTTTATCTCGAGCGTGCAGCTTGTGCAGGGCTTCTTCTATCTCTGCCATGATGGCTTTGTGATCATTCTGCAGACCTGAAACACACAGAGGGTTTCATGTTACTATAAAAGAAAAAAAGCTGAAAAAAATACTTGAAATTACAAAAATGTAGGTTATTACATGTGGTTTTACATGAATTATGCGTCAAAAACTTCTATATTTGAAAATGTAGTCTACAACCATAAAACTAAATTTGTAGTCACAAAAGTCGTTGTCTGGTTGTTCTTACATGAAATGTTATGTCTTGCTGTCCTGATCTGGTACAAATTGACATCTGCTCGGGGGTAACCCTCTTCGTCAACCAGGGGACCTTCAACGCCAACACCCTGCTGTTAACAACAACATCATGTTAGTATCTTTAGCATAAACAGARCTATCGGTGTAAAGCACGAGTCCAACTTACGTCTTCTAACACGTCGTAATAAGCTTTTATTTGTTCCTCAATTTCGTCTTTCTTCTTAATAAGATTTTTCACATCATCCATTGTGACTTCAGAGCCTTCGGGACTGTTTTCTCTTGTTGTTTTCATTTGCTGATAAGTTGTTGTTGTTGAGCTCATCAACACTTCCGGTGATTCTGTTTCCGCTGCAGCGCCCTCGTGTGGCCGAGTCCAAACACTGCTAAATGTTTCAGAACAATAATAAATGAGACTATACTGGTTTTATGTGCTGTTTTTACTCAGTGCAATTTATTTAAAAAAATTAGAGTAGTTGTGATCAAATCTTTTAGTAGTTTACGTATTTTTGTATTTTGTACTTGAATAAACATTCTAATGTTTGGTAATTGTTTCAGCTATATCCTGATGCATCTCAGTAATCCAGGTAAAATATCAAAAAGAAAAATATTGTATAGGTCTTCTGGACGGGTTCTTCTCTAATGAAACGTTTCGTCTCTCCCCCAAGAGACTTCTTCAGTCTGAGAGTTTCAGGCAAAATTCAGGTTTTTAAGCACTGCCTCCATGTGACTGATACTCACATCACATGGCTATTGTTGACACCTAATTAACATTTATTGTTAACAGGGGGTGGAGTGATACTGGCAATAACAGCGCTGTAGGAGGGGGACAACTGAAAACGGAGGCCTCCACCTCGGTTAAATGATGGACGGTCTATCTTCACAAAAATGGCTTCTTTTACTCCTCTCTCAAACCAACGTTCCTCTCTATCAAGAATGAGAACATCCTCATATCTGAAAGAGTGACCGCTGGCCTGTAAATGAGTGAAAACTGCAGAGTTCTGGCCATTAGATGTAGCTCGTCTGTGTTGGGACATTCTTTTGAACAGTGGCTGCTTTGTTTCCCCGATGTATAACTGGTCACAGTCCTCCTGGCACTTAACAGCAACATTGCTCTGTTTGTGCCG